CAACGCTTCGTACTTCGTACTATGTTTGTACAAATCTGAAGGCGCAAAACATACTACAATGTGGATGAGATATGGATGTGATAGGAAATAAACATAAACAATTGCAAAATTTGAACGTAAAATCCGAGTCTTGATATTATCTACAATGGCTACGTTCAGCAGAGAAAACTAATCAGTTAGCGCTTAGTGTGATTCTTTAATATAATTGCTTCTTGTCTTTAGTTCTTCGGATCTAAGTGTAGGAATCAATTACTAAGCGCTAACTAATTAGTTTTTTTGCTAAACGCAGCAATTGCCATTATGTATATAATTGCTATTATTATATTATAATCAACTTTGTTCCATGCATGAATTAATACATATTTATATTATACATATTTATACAACCATATAGTCTCCAATTAGATATGCAACATGATTATTTTAAATAAATATGATAGCAAAAAAAATATGTATCATAAGATATGTAAGATTAGATAAATATTATTAATGCTTATTTACGTACATATATTATATCAATAAAATTGAAAAATATAGTAAAATTGCATTTTTTTCTTTACATTTATTTATATTATAAATAATGGAATTGATAAATGTACATACTTCGATAATAATAAATTTATTCATATTAAAAACCTAATCAACATACTTTGATTACTTTTCTTACACAATTGGGGTTTTGATATAAATAATAATGTACACTGTTAAATTCATAATATCAAATTATACCCAATTTGAATTATTTTTTCTCTATTATTTTCTATAAGTCATCATTGCTCCTTGTTAATATGTCATTAATTTAATTAAATAGTTAATATACAGTTAATTAAGTTATCTCAAGAAAATATATTAAACTTGATTCAAATTATTTAATGCTGAATGCATACATTAATGTATGTACACATTAATGTATGTAGTTTACATTAAAACAAAAATGAATTACATTTGGATACACATGGAAGTTAAAAATAACAAAATGTTAGACTCAAGAGATTGGGTTCTCATTGCTCTTTTGATATCTAACAGTGTACGAAGAATAGATGCAATGTCAGAAAAAAAGTCTCCAAAAATTGGAATGACCAGAAAATTGTGACAATAATGCTAAAAATATTAAGAAAATATTTTTTAAAAAAGCATTTTGAATTGTTATATCTGTACCAGAATATATTATTTTCAGACTGTTTGTATATAAGAAAGCACATCTTCTTTCAAATATCTCTTAGGCATACTTTCTTTCTCGGTTACATTCCAGGAGAATTCTATTATAGCTGTAGGAATTAATCGTAATTCTAGGAGTGTCTTTCCATGACATTCTTCTATTAATTTAATTCCATCTGGTGTTATCAGCAAAAAGGGCACTTTATCGTCAATTAAATTTTCAGCAACAAACTCGGTTACATTCTGGAACTTTTCGTGTACCGAGAAAGTACCTTGCAATATTATTCCGTCTGGAAATTTAATCCGAAGTACAGCAAATTTATATCTTCTAAGTACACGCTGCTCATCCTTCTCTCTCATAGCCTTTGTTCTTAACATTTGGTTTCTTTCTACAGCTTCCGTCCTAATAATAATAAATGTTTTCATTTATTTATATTATCTAGATATTCCGAAAGATTCTGCCATCTAATATATTACATGAACTTACCGCAGCTGTTGTTCTTTTTTTATTTCTTCTGGACTTATCGTAAAGAAGCTGGGTGGCAATTCATTTCTCACACGAGCTTGACTAGGCATTAATACTTGTAAATTCCTGTCTAAAGCAGATCTTAATGCTTCATTTAACATCGTGAGATTTTCAATGTTACAATTATTAGGACTCCATACTAAAAAGTCTTCTTCGTTCTCATTATGCAATAACTTTTGCTGTTCAAAACCAGCTGCTTTTAAGAAATCCAATGTTCCTTCAATAGGCAAAACTTTTTCCTATAAAAATATAGGTCATTATATGTAAGCTATTTTAAAAATTAAAATTATTTTTAATAAATTATTAAAAAGAGACAATATTACTTGGAATATTTTGTTACACATTCTGATTTTCCAATATTTCTCAACGTTCGGATTATTAATAATATTGTCCAAATATTTGCCAAGTGTTTCTACACAACTTTCGATCTTCTCTTTTCCGGAATTGCAACTTTGAATAATTAGACATGCTGTTAGTCCTGCTTCTTCTCCCATTAATTGTTCATATAGAAATTCTCTTATTTTCTTTTTCCATTCGTCCCGCGACAATATTTCATCAGATAAATATGGACAACGGAAGAACACATCAGTAACTGCAAAAATAGATGGATCTACAATTTTCTTCTCTTTTAATGGTATATCTTCCGTCTGTTGTAAACTTTGCTGTGCTGCTTTTCTTTCTAAATCCAATTCACGTTTAACACGAGCTTGAATGGCAGCATATGATCTATAAATAATCATAATATTAATCAGATTGACACGATAAAAATTCTAATAATCTTGCTAAAATTAAATAATAATATGTAAACATGTGTATAATAATTAATTAAAAATAATCTTAAATATTACACACGTATTAAATCTTGGTTTGTCATTTTTCTTTGCTTCTAATCTTGCTAAGGCAGCTTGACCTGCTATTTTAGCTTCCTCTGTAGGCTCCGCCCTCCTCGTTGGTTCTTTAGGCTCTGTTGAAGAACATATAGTACTGGTAGACTCCGTTAATCTATATAAATTGAAAACGGTGCGATTAGATGTTATTAATTACTTTGTTATTGCTAAATTTATATCAATAATTGAAAGCTCGTTGCAACAGTAAGCTAATACACATTTTGTAAAAACCAAGTAATAAACTCTAAAATTAAAAATAAATTAAAAAATAAAAGCTATAAAGTATGTAGGATTTATATTAATAGAAAATACAAACGTGTTCCGAACCTCGGTTTTGATCTTTTGATCAAGTAATATAATACTTTTCATATTACTTTAATTTTAGAGCCCATTTACTCCGTTTTTACAAAATAAGTAAGTTAGCAGTTTACTGTTGTATCATGCCTTTCGATTTATATTATTATTATTTGCAATTACTTGTATCCTTTTCCCGCTTTCATAAATTTTGCATTTGTTTTCTTTTTTTGAAAAAAAGACTTGATTTTATCAGCCATGTTTGTTATAAAGTCCAATAGTAGTTAAATATCTAATATATTACTCAGTTGATGAATTACAATCTTCAGCAGCGCCTAAAAGATAAAATACTTGTTAATTGTTAATTTGTGTAAAAATTATCGCCATTAAATTACAATATTTTTATCATTTATATATTTATATAAACGCAATATTAGGATGACGAAAAGATACAGATGTTGATATCTTTTACACAATAATGATTTTTATAATTACGCGCAAAAGGGAAAAGCGTTCACGCGATCTTACCTGTTTTCATGAACTGCTCCGTAATTCTGGAGCCATAAATGTACCAAGCAACAAAGATCAACGCCACGCTGCTTAGAAATGTCAACAGGAAGACTTTGAGCAGTTGTAACTGAAAATCGTCAAATGACAGCAACGCTATCAATTCGTGGAGGAATTCGTGGAGCTTCAACGACGTCTCGTCATCAATGATGACGATGTCGCCAAAATTAAAGGTTAGACCGAATGTCGACAGAAATGAAAACAGGTTGAGCACGTATTTATTGATCGCCTCCGACAAATAGTTCGTCCAAGGACACGAATCCTCACATGCGCTGCTCATCACATGAGGGAGAAAATCTTTCCCCTAGTATCGAAATTATCACTTGCACTCAAATCAATCTCGAGCTTATCAAAATTCTATCGCAGCTGATTGTAGATCGCGACAAAAAACAACTGTAGCACGATTCACAAAATATTAAATGATATGGCAAGCCATGCAAATTTCCAATCATCACACCGATCATGACACCGATAGGCCACAAAAGATTGCGATATGTCTTTCTTGATGAGTTTTGGAATGCGCGAAAATTGTGAGATCGATCGAAGAGAAAAGATTTCGAAGCCATGTTAGAGTTTATTACTTCGACTCTATTTCACATTTATTCTATATATTCCCAAATATTTAGGTCTAAAATAATATTCGTATTTTTGTGTGCGTATATTATACAATATATGACAATTAAGTTAGCGATTTATAAAAATATTTTGATATTTCAAAAATATTACTTATAAGGACTTTTCTATTACATTATTTTTATTGCAATATATAATATATACTGGGTTGGAGCAAAAGTTATTCGTAGCACTACTTCGATATATATAATGTTTACGTGTTGGCAATTGTACCATTCTAGAGTAAAATTTAAACTTTAAGAATCTCTTATTTGAATTTCGATAAGAGGTAAGTACGATGATTTTTAACGGAATTTATATGAGCAATCAAAGTTAATGCTTCTTTTATTTTAATCCGCGATAACTCAATACAACAAAAAATCTTAGGAACATTAAAAGTCTTAAATTATTTCAAGGAAGTTATAATTCTGCAAACATTTATGACATTTGTAATTATTTTTATCACGTAACAGCAATAAATGAAGAATATTGTATGTCATTCCCAGTAATGTCAGTCATTATATTGTGTTTACTGAGTTGAGAAATTTTTAAATATACAAATATACAATTAAAATATATATTGCCTATAAAGCATAAAATGTGTACAATCTATAATATCTATATAAGACTATTATAATTATAATTAACATGTATATTTATAGTTTAAAAATAAAGAAACTAAATAAAATAAACTGCAGTAATATTTTATATCATAATTTATAATACGAGACCATATAACTATAATGAAAAAAAAAGAGTCAAGTAGATTAAATTAAGTCTATAAATTAACCTCTGGCATTCCAAAACTCATCGAAATGAGTAACATCTGCAAATGTTCTTCATAATTGATGACTATATTACTTAAGTTACAGTATCGGATTCAAGATGGCGCTGGAAATCACTACCACAAAGTGCAACGGGTCCGCGAGCTTCTGTTCCATCTAGTCCTCGCTGAATAGTGACAGTGCTTTTGTGAGAGCGCTGTGAGTTCCATCTGCTTCCGTCTACCAATTGATTATCTGTAATGACTACACTGTATATATCTATACTGTGATTGAATTATCATAGGTCTCGTGCGTTATCGGAGTAGATTTGATACGTGAACACGTGAGGGGAACCAACAATCATGGTTCAGCAATACCAATCGCCTGTGCGAGTTTACAAGCATCCTTTCGCTCTTGTCATGATGGTGTGTTTAATGCTATGTGGCCTTCAAACTTAACTGTCATATAATATTTATTGCATTTCGTGCTCCTATGTCCTTCACAGAACATATGTCATATCCCAGAAAATCCAATAAATGATTTCTCGCTGCGAATACCTATATTGAACTATACGGAAGCATCAACTATCTTTTAAATGTCCCTCTCTCTTTTTTCCTCCTCTCTCAATTTTTTTAAATTTCGATTGCATATAAATTTTTTGTCTTTGATATAAATCTTTTTGCTTATCAAGTATTCTACGAGTTATTTCAATTATAATATGATGCACTGAGCAAGTAAAAAGACATTTAAAAAATCTTATTCTCTTTTTTACAGGCATATGAGCGTAGGTTTCCAACATGTCCACAGATACCAGTTTTTATTGGATGTGAAGTTATGTTAGATGAGGAGAGCGAGGATGGTGCTGTTAGAACCACAGAAAGACGATGTAAATTAAATGTTGAAGCACCATATATCTTAAAAAAGGTTTGTTTATATATATGTGTATAAAAAAGTTACATTGTCATACATATTTATTCTATCTACTTAGTTTGGTAGATCTAAAACATTCTTTATTTCCAATATTAGATTTCATAATTTTTTTTAGAAAATAATATAGTAGCTGTAAAAATATTTCTTCTCTAGAGAACTAAAATAATTTCTTATTGATATAAATCCTATATTCATTAATTAGTAATTTATTTCAGATAATTGGTGTGGATTTTGTATACTTTATTCAAAGGAATGTTTTAAATAGGCGCAATAATGTTTTAGAAATAGAAGCATACAATGAAAGCTTTGCCACTAGAGTAACTGTTATTGAAAAATGTAAATATTTTGTAAGTATTATATATTTAAAAACTTTTTTGGTTTTGAAAACTCAATGGAAAAGTTAGCGATGAAGCAATATGCACAAAATATTGCTAAGGTAATATATAATAATAATATATAATATATAATAATTACTGTATCATATCTATTTTTAAAATAATAAGATATGATAGTTATAATAAAATAGAAATTAAAATTTTTTTATTTCATAAAATGTAATTACATATTTAATTATAGGGTAAAGAAATTATCGAATATTTCATAAATAAATTGAAAGAAGAAGGTATTACCTATGTTGCTCCTTGGGAAGATCCACAGAAAAGATCTTCTGAAGAAGAAAAGTAAGTATAGTGCATTAAATTAAATGTAATGCATTAGAGACTCTTTGTACATTTTAATTGCATAAATTTCACGTTGCTTGTAAGGGAACATCATGATGGACGAGCACTTCAGACATCAAGAGCACATATACACACTCACACGTATACAAGTGATTGTTTCTGTAAAATAATATTTAAAACCTTAATTGTAACGTCTTACAATTTTAATTTCCAGCCTTAAACATTTAACACATTTTACCTAAATTCATACTAACAATTTATATTGAACAATATTTTCGGTCTGCAATGGTTACTTTTTTTATATAGGAAAAATGTGGACGAAAATAGTGAGTTATATAGCGAAAAAGAATTATGTAATACCGACAATAAACTGCCTAGCAACAGAGGTATATTACCTTTTTGATACATATTATTTTGCTATAATAGTTACACGTAATGAGTAGTTCATTTTATGTTTGTTTTCTTTAATTATAGAAATGCAACTGTCATCGGATTATATAGAGAGATACTTAGGAAAACTAGATATGCTTCAGGAAAGCAAATTAGTGCAACTTAGACATAGCATTGAAGAACTAAGGGGTAGTTCCGTACCAGGTTATGCAACGCTTCTACGGTTCTTAAGGGCCACGGAATTCTCTGTTGAAAAGGCTAGAGAAATGTTAACACAATCCTTACATTGGAGAAAGAAGCATCAGATCGATAAACTTCTAGATGAATATGAAATGCCACAAGTGATTAAAGATTACTTTCCTGGTGGCTGGCATCACTTTGATAAAGGTAATCGATCTATAATAAACTTGCTGCAAATGTCATGCTATCCTAAGTTACGGTATGAAGAATAATGAGTCAGTATATAAAAGAATATCTGACGTATCACATCTTCTATTTATATATTCTTTGATATAGACGGACGACCTTTATATATCTTAAGGCTGGGTCAAATGGATGTTAAAGGTCTACTTAAATCTATTGGGGAAGATGAATTATTATTATTAGTAAGTTAAAATGTTTTAAAATTGAAAATTTTTCGAAGTGATTTAATAATATCTTATTTTTCTATAGGCTTTACATATCTGTGAAGAAGGACTGCACTTGATGGAAGAAGCTACTACTGTTTGGGATCATCCGGTCTCTCAATGGACATTATTAATAGATTTAGAAGGTTTAAATATGCGACATTTATGGAGACCTGGAATAAAAGTATGATTATTTTAGATAACATAAATGAAATAAAAATTTTAAATAAAATAAATATTTATAACTATAATTCCTTGATATACCGATATAAATTGTTGTATTGTTAACTCTAATAATTTTATATTTGTTTAATTTTTGCTTCAGGCATTATTGAGAATAATAGAAATAGTTGAAGCAAATTATCCAGAAACAATGGGAAGGGTTCTAATCATGCGTGCTCCCAGATGTTTCCCTATTTTGTGGACACTTATCAGCACTTTTATAAGTAAGAATTTTTTAAATTAACTTAATTTAATTATATAATGTAACGTTTTTCTAATCATGTCATCAAAATTACAGATGAAAATACTAGGAAAAAGTTTATTTTTTATTGTGGTACAGACTACCAAGAACAAGGACCCGGTGGTCTTAGTGAATACATTAATCAAGAATTTATTCCTGATTTCCTCGGTGGTTCCTCAGAAGTAAGACAATAATATTAATAATATTAAATGTTGCAAATATCGCACTTATTAACATGAATATTTAATATATAATTACGAATAGTTATGAATGTCTTTATATTAATATAAAAAACATTTAACAGATTTTATGTAATATGTATATTTATTTCTATATATTATTAATAACTTATTTTGATCATATTTTCTTAAAAAGTATACAATGTATTATTTTATAATATATCATTAAAGGATTTATGATATATCATTAAAGGATTATAATAATTTTTTTAATGAGTTTTTGATATATTTTATGTAATAGTTTATGAAATTTCTAATTATCTTTTTCCTTTGGAAAAAAAACAATAGTTCCGTTTTTTATATTCATTTACGTTGGAGTAATATATTTTTTGTATACGTGTTGAATACTAGGAAATGAATATATGCGAAGTCTATAATATGGTACCTCGAAGATTTTACATTTTCGACGCAACTGTGAACAGCGTAAGAAAACGATACAAAAATTATGTTAAATATGTTGTAGAAATTTTTTCTGCAGCTAACTGGCTTTAGTGAAGAAATATGTGACGTTTTTATAGTTATTAAAAAATGCACATTGTGTATATCATTATATATTAGAAATATCAAAGAAATTGATCAGAAAATTGTTGTGTAATATCATCAGTTGCTAGATACATAGGCATTATCCGTGTGTCATGTTCGTATGTTTTTATCTGTAATCATCCACGTTTGAGAGAAAACAATTTTATGTAAATCATCTATGTCGTCATAATTTTGTTATTCATATATATATAAAATACAGGAATTTTATAGTGTACATTGAAACATTTATCTGTGTATTATCAAATATATAGTTTTGAGATATGATCAAAATCATGTACTTATACATATAATGCACGCAAGTTTAAGCACTAATTCGGAAATATAGATTAACACTGCGTGCACAAAAAGTGAAGTAATTTTGCGTATTCTTGCTAGTTAAATTTCAGAGTATTTTACACAAACTAAGCTCAAAGCTATCAATGAAATCTATCAATGAAACATAAAATTAAATTACATACAATTCGTTAGTCAATGAAACATAAATTAAATTACTTACAATTCATTAGTCAATGAATAATTCACGAAAGCTATTAAATATCTGAAATTTAATTAGCTATTAATCTTCATAAAATCTTAAATTTTAAATATCTTTAAGATTATATAAGCAATCTAAACAAATACAATTAAATATATGTCTAAAATTATTCTCTTTTTATCAGACATACGTAATGGAAGGTGGAGTAGTACCGAAAAACTTATACAGAATGGATTTGGAGGGTACCACCGGCGAACATGAGCATAGTCTATATCACTCTATTAGCTTGAGCCGTGGTCAAACTCATCATGTATTCATAGAATCGGATGATCCGGGTGCTGTCCTGACGTGGGATTTCGATGTAATGCGTCATAATATAATATTTACAGTGCTTCACAAATCTCGAAACAGTGAAAATGGTGCTATTTCAGGTATATTTTAATATTAACAGTAATAGGAACAGTGTTATGATGAAACAAACATAACATTTTTTAATTAAAATTAACAATACAATATGTACAGTTTACAAGCAATAATTATTTTATAGAACTTCCAGAGCTCGCAATAGGGGGTGATCATGAAATCGTTGCTGCAAAAGAATTGAAAGATAATTATATTAAAGTCGAACATAGCATAATTTGTCATGATGGTGAAAGCATCCAAGTATGTATTCATGTATTGCATTATATTTTTGATATTGTATTTAGTGTATTTTATATATTTGATAAAGTCAATATTTTTAATATTTTTATATCCACACTTCGCTCATTTGTTACAATAACCATATGAACTTACAATAACTATTTAACTCAAAACTGTTATTTTTTTAACTTTACTTACAGAAAAGAATGGAAACTTAAAAAAAGAATATACTTCAAAAGAACTTTTATTCTTTTACAATCGTTATATTTAAATTACACTTAAAAATCAACGTCACAAAATTTTAACAATTTGGAAATAAATATTAAAATTAATTTTCTGGAAAATTTTGTTTTTGAGTCATTGTTGAGTTGTATAGTAGCAAATAAGCGACATATCAGTTGCAAATTGAACAAGGCACACAAATATATTTTTAATATAATAATTAATTCTTTTGTGTATTGAACTGTAATTTATTATTATATTAAACTGATTTAAATTGTATAAATTGTATAAATATGATTTAAATTGTAATTTATTGTTTCTTCTGTGTTAAAGAATTTACATAAATATATTTATAATAATATAAAATTAAATATACTATATTATTTTCTCATAACTTATCTATTTTTACGAATAATTGTATACGATTATTTTGTATATATTTATAATTATAATTACATAATTATTGCTTATATGAAATTATTAATTCTTTTTATATTATAGGGTACTCATATCATGCAGGATACAGGTACTTATGTATTACAATGGCAAAATCAAGAAGACCAAGTCGAATTTCTTCCATCCATTAGCTCTCATAAGGCTCAACTTACGTACTTTTATGAAACATTACCAGCTGCACATTACAGGTACTTATTACATATAAGGTGTATATTTTTATTTTTACGTAGAATAATATTATAATGGTACTTTTTTTGGCTTCCTTTAGAGGTTCAATGATGAGTTTACAGTCAGCCATAAGCGGAAGGTCAGAGGCTAGTTCATCTTTATCCAGATGAAAAGCAATGAATACAAATGTTGAATTGCAGGAGACATGAAAAACAAATTTCAATCGTAATATTTTAGTAATATGTGTTGTACAAACACGAATCTCATTTATGTTTAACGAAGCTAAAATACAATTCATATTTTAGTCTGATATTTTAATTTTGTTGACACGGTAAAGCTTCTCTCTTTATTCATAAACAATTCAATATTGTTTCAAATCTTAAGCCTAAAATACTCATTTCCAACTAACTACATAACCGATGTTATCATGTTATATATATATAGTTGTTAAGCAATAATACAGTATATAATAATGTTGTCTAATATATTTAAACTTTATTTTTTCATATAAAAATAAATTAGATGAAATTTAATACTCAGAATAGAATCATATGTACATTTTAGAGATTATATTGTAATATAAACAGTAGAAAATTCACTGCAAGAGCATATTATAGTTTCAAGCTCCAAAGTGGACGATAATCCAAATTGTGCAAATGAATTGTGATTTAATATTAATTTATATACATATATTTACATAAAGAACACGGGTAACAAAAATGTTCTTCCCTCATAAACTTACATTTTACTAAAATTTTGTCTTAAAGAAAAATGCATAAGCATTAAGCTAATTTTTATAGCATTATAGTAATTTTATATATTGTAGTGAAATCCCATTACATTCCACTGTTGAGAGATAGAACACATTATGCTATATTTATATCATTTTTTACATACTTTCACAAAACATATTATGCAAGAAGATTAATAATCATGTAATAACAAATTCTCTAATTTGATAATTGATAAGAAGAATTATAGTTTAGAATATGTTAATTTATTATTGATATCTTGTTCAAATTAAACATCAGCAGTAACTATAGTTTCAAATAAAGCTACTCAAAAATTAATAAGAACATAATATATTTAATAATTTATTATGTGCCAAAATAAATGTAAAAAACTAATAAAAAATATTTTCAGTACAATAAAACAAATTTTATCATAAATGAAAGTGGAAGAAAACTAGTTTTGAGATAACAATATAATTGTATACAGAATATAATTTATTTATTAAATATATGAATGTTTTGGCAGTAATATAATATTTTAATAAATCTGTTATTGTTCATTTTCTGGTAGTCTACAAACAAGAGTCCTTAATTTTAGATGTAACGGTATAAATTATCTAATAAGTTAACGTAATGATATGTAAATTAATAACGATTAATTAATTCTAAAATGCAGAATACTCGAAACATATAAATTATAAATAATTATAGTCAATTACAATGCATAATATAGAAATAATGTTAAGAATGCTCATACTTTCGATGGCAAATATTATGCGGAAATATAAGCTGAAAAAGCTTTCGTGTAAGAAATTATCTTTAATCATCAAAAGACATAATTTGTGAGAACACAAATTCTATTATCAATTCATTATATCAATAAATAGAAACATCTTTCTATGTGTCTTCTTAACAAATTATGTCTTGATTGTTGATTACAACTAATAGTTCAAGTGAGAAAACATATTTTTCAAATGCAGATTTTTAGAATGAACACAGATGTGTTTTTACTAGGATATATATAGCGAAATGAAATTATATGGCCGGCCAATAATTGTTAAATAGTTAAAGATATCACGTTTATCGTTTATCACTGTAAGATATAATTAGTTATTTTAAAATGTAGTATAACTAGTATACGTAAAACGTGTAATAGATTACTACGTGAAAAAATAAGATGTAAACTGTATGAATATACAACTTATTGTTTTAATAATAGACAGGAAAAATTGATAGAATTTATTACTATTCCATAGTGCAATTTGTGTCTTCTTTACGACTAGAAACTATGTAGCAACTCAGAAACATTGTCTCAAAGTAAGAGAAAAATTATGTATGTCACTAATTTGAAATGTCACATAATGTAGCGACGTAGCTAGTAGTACTGTTATTTCTATTGTCATCACATACAACGTTGAAGGCAATAAAGTTCAAACAGATTTATTCAAGGATTATAATTGAATAAAAAACCCGCTTTCAAATTTTAATATTTTATAAGCAGTAATAAATGTGATACATACTAGGGAATTTTCCTGAATCAGGATAAAGAAAGTAACAATAAATATAGTTTAACAATTTCTTTGTAGTTTTTTTATAACACTTCTATAATTCATATAGAGTCTATAATTCTATGGAGAGTATATATACTTCGCAATCGTACATTTACGCGTTCATTGTATACAGAGTAATATATGTGTGAAATTGTTCGACATTACTAGACTAGGATATACATATACACATGTAGTATATATTCCCAAAAGCATACACATGTAGTATACATTTCCCAGAGCTATATATATATCCTTACATATATCATGCAGGAACTCTTATATTTTTCAATCCATCTTAAGAAGAGATAAAATATAAAATTATTGCATATTAAAAGTTATTAAATACGTAAAAAATTCGCTCTTCGTATAAAAACAAAGAGACGAAGTACAAAAATTGTACAAAAATCGTATTTCTATTTACCCGCGTGCATACAGCGTTACGTCTTTTTGCAACGTGACTATTTGTTTAAAAAGATTAAAAATGTAATACAGTAAGTATATATATATATATATTTTTTTGTAAATCAGAAAATCTTAATATTTAAATTTTTTTTCAACATATTCATATTTAATATGACCTATTGAATGAATAAATGATCTATTTGAGATATAAACAATGTGTATACATAATAATATATTATTATAATAAATTATACTTTTTTTTCATTCTTATAAAAAAATAAAAAAAATTACAAATATATTATCTTCATCACTTTTTATAAGATATACTCATCATGTTTCTTAATAAACACTATATTGAATAAAAGATAATGCAGAACAATCTTACAAACAAATTTATAATAAACAAATTTATAATGATAAATTAATAATTCAAATAATGTAATATTATATATGTAAATATCTGGGAGATGGTTTGGAATGTTTTCTCCATTTTTTAATCTTCGATTTTAGGCATTATAAAAAAGATTACTGTGATTACTATATCACAATGATTTTAAAAATGATATAAGAAGTATATCAAAATAATTAATAATTATACTTGAATTGTATTATACAAAGACTTATAACAAAATATTATATTTTAAAGAGAATAATTCATATAAAATAATATTTGTAAATGGAAGCTTTTTTGAAATTTTGTAATATCTTTTCTCGCAAATATCAATTCTGTTTTCACTGGACTTAGAATATATCAAATGGAGTATATAAAAAATTGATATTGTGGCTATTATGTATATCTTTGACTATAAAATTATAAAATTATTATATGTATATTTAAATTTCATGACTAAAATATTAAGAAAGATGTATGTAATACAAATTCTTGGCAGGACTCTTTTGGTGAAAGAATATCCATATAATTATAGTCAAAGATATATATAACTTAATGCAACATTATTATACTTTGGCATTTCTCTTTTTAAACTTCTTCATAAAAATGCTAATAATATCAAACAAGATTGGGAAATAACAAGTTACTTGTAACGCCATTACCATCATTTTTTTAATAACGAATTTGTAATGACGTTACGTTTTTCATTAATAACAATAATAAATAATGTAATTACTATCGTTACTTTGTACAATACATATGTATTGATATAAGCAAATTTTTAAAAAAGGGAATATTATAATATATTTGACTATTAATCATATAATCATAATCACTATATTTTTTGTTAAACCGGTTAATCAGTGGACGTTATTCTAAGAAAAAGATCATTAAAATGTGAAAATTGACTCCCTACTTTTGAGATAACGATAACAGTAACAAATTACTTTTTCCAATAAGTAACGAGCAACGGTAACGAATTACTTTTCTGAACGAGTAACGGTAACAATTAAGTTGTTGCTAGAAATTATCTTTTAAAAAAAAAACATTAAATACACGCGCACTCCTCAAAAAATAAGTGTTATATAAATATTTTTCAAAAATAAAACCAAATGGTATGTATAATTCAAGTAATAGTAACTTTAATTTTTTGCTAAAAAATAACGATATCACAAAATTGCATCAATTAAAATTTTTGCACATATATTATCTAACGCAATGGTTCAATGAGTAATGCTTAACAATAACGAGTTAAATTTTCAAGTAACTTTCCCAATCCTGATATCAAGCATAACATCTGTTTGTCTCGGCCTCAAAAAAAACCTTAACTTTTTCAGTTCCATGCTTTAACATTGTTTTATATATTCTGAACTATAATTTCTACATATTAATTAATAGATAGAGGTCGCTAATACATACTGTAATATTTGGCAGAAAAATACATCGGATAGGCAAATCTCCTCAAAGTATAATATGAAATAAATATCTGACAATATATAAAAATCTCTTTTGGCATTTTTAAGTACTGGTAACACCTTTACGAGCTACTAAAAGATTTAATACTGGATGCTTTCTTATATAAGAAACTGCTTTCTTGTGAGTTACCATTGTAAAATCATATCCATTACATTGTAATATCTTGTCATGCATTCTGAGACCACTTTTTGCCGCCGGTGATCCGTCATGTACTTCTGTTACATATATTCCCTAGAAAAGAGAGATTCATATCTATAAGCTTTTTATGTTATCTTCATATAGTATATTTTATATAATTTATATAATTTATATAATAATTTTATATAATTTATATAATAACGCTATATTTTCTGCACGCGCGCACACACACACACACAAAATATGATCTTACATTATCTGTATAACCCTGTGGACTTTTTGTAAAATCCTGATCAATACCCCCACCGATTTTAAATCCACATTTCATTACTTCTTCGCCGTTTTCATTAATTTCTGTTTCTTTGTGTAATGTAATTGGTATCTATAACAAATCAATAAATGTACACATAAATATATAATGCAATATATATGTATATATACATAATACATAATTATAAATATATAAAAAGGGTAATAATTCGAATTGATCTTCGTGATAATGTATATTACAAGATAGTATGTACATAAA